ACAGCGGGACCAGGGGCAGAGCCGCCCGGGCTCTTCCCTGAAAAGCTGCTCAGTTTTTGAACTCTTTGCTTTTTTCTTTCTTTCCTTTTTTCGCTGCAAACACTTGAAAGGCCCCGTTCCTCCCTCTGCTGTTCCCAGCAGCTCCCCCTCGCTCTGCCCCCCTGGCCTCGTCTCACTGTGGTCCCCAAGCGGAGCTGGGGGGGGTTGGTGACACCCCAAGTTTGGCTTTGCATCTTTCTTTGTGCAACTTGGCAAAAAGCGGGTGGGGGGGGAGAACTGACTTGGTGTTTGGAGGATCAAGAGCAGGTTTTGCTTTGGGGGGCCCATGAGTACCCTTGGGGTGATACCACAGTGGGGTACCAGCCCTGCAATAGGGTGCCAGCACAGAAATGGTGTGCTGGCCCCAAAATAGGGCACCAGCGCTGAAACAGGGTGCCAGTGGTGCAATGGGGGGGAGGAGGCCGGGGCTCCTTGGGCGGCGTTTTCGGCACCACTTTGGTGGGAATCCTCTCTGAGGTGTCTCGTGCCCAGGCCCTGACAGGCTGGCTCTTGCATTTAAGCAAATTTGGTTTTCTTCTGTGTGCCAGAGCCTCCCCGTAGCCCGCGGGAATGGGCTCCAGATCCACCTCTGGATCCACAAACAGGCTGAAATGAGAGCTCGGGGGTCCCCATTTGTCTCCGTGTCTCTCTCCTCGTACATCCCATCTCATCCCGCTCCCTCGCCCCGTCCTGTAATATCTCAGCATCTCCCTAAAGCAAAAGATGACAATAAAGTGTAAATGGGGAGTGTTGGCTCTGGAGTGTAATGATGGCAATTTAGATGCCAGCCGTCATTTCCCCGCCGTTGCCCCAGGTAACAGGAGCCGCCGAATCCGGTGGGAGCGCGGCCGAGGCGGGACGAGGTTACCTCGGAGGCTGATGGCTGTCCTGGGATTTTCTGTCATTTACCTTGAAAGAAGGGAAAGGGAAATAGCCGTAAATGAAGGTGTTTGCCTTGGGAGTGCCAGGCTGAGCCGGGCCAGGGGTGCTGCTCCCGCTGGTTCTGCATGGAATTTGCATCCATTACCCGCAGTGCCCACCCCAGTCCCCATCCCCATCCTCATCCCCATTCCCATCCCTGTCCCCATGTCCCCATCCTTGTCCCCTGTTTCCATCCCTTTCCACTTCCCCAGTCCTGTCCCCAGGAGAAAAAGAGAGAAAAAGAGAAAGAGAGAGGAAAAGGAAAGGGAAGGCAAAAGGAAAAGGGAAAGGGAAGACAGGGAAAGGGAAAGAGAAAACCGTAACGAGCATGCCTAAGCCACCCCGTGCCCGTCTCCCGTGCCCCCTGCCCCGTGCCCGTCCCCTCTCCCGCCCCCCACGCTCCCGCTCACTCCTTCTTTATTTTTTTAATCAGCAGCGTCGCTTTCCTGGCGCCGAAGCGTTTCCCAGCCCCGCACTCGGGAAACCTCATTAACACAGATCAAAAGGAGCTTTTAATGATTTATAAAGGTGCAGTAGTTTGGAGAAATTAAATAATTTAGGTGCTGTGTGTACGGCGGGTCCCCCCGGACCACATTACCAGCGCTCGGTGAGCCGCGGCACCGGGGACAGCACCGGAGCCTCTGGGGACCGGGAGACACTGCCAGGGCTGGGGACGGTGGAGGTGGGGTGTCCCCTGAATGTCATCTCAGCCCTGCCAGGGCTGGGGACGATGGAGAGGGGGTGTCCCCTGAATGTCATCTCACCCCTGCCAGGGCTGGGGACGGTGGAGGTGGGGTGTCCCCTGAATGCCATCTCACCCCTGCCAGCGCTGGGGCTCAGCCCCGAGGGGGTTTGGGATGCACTGGCTGCTGGGGATGCTGCTGAGGTGGCTGCACTCACTCCCTGCCACGGCAAATGTTTGCCAGCGTGGTTAAAATAAACCTTGGCACTGGTGGGACGGGGTGGTGGGATGCGCTGGGTGGAGATGGGTGTCCAGGTGGATCCAGCTCCGGCTCCATCCCCTCCCGGCCCACTCAAGTGGCTTTTGCCTCTCGAGCAGGGAATAGGGATCTGCCTCCGGGACACCGGGACCGACAGCGTGGCCCAAATTGTCCCCGACAGCCTTGTCTGGCTCCCGCCCGGCGCTGCCGTTCGCATCCCGCGGGATGACACTCGGCTTCACTCGGCTCGGCAGCGATCCCGGCTGCCCGAGGAGAAGGAGAAACAGATGGAAAACCGGCTTAAACGTTCCCGGCGGGAAGTCCATTGCCAGCCACGGACTTGCCAGGGCCCAGCCGAGCCCCGGGATTAATGGAGGAAAGAGCCCCTGGCAGGGGTCGGTGGGTTCCTGCGCCCCGGGGGCCCTTCCCTGCCACCCCCGGGCTCCTTTTGTGCCCATTCCCTGGGGGGGACCCCGGCGGGGCTGGGAGGGGTCGGGGGGTGGCATTGGCTGCTCTGCAGCTGAATTCCCATCAGGTTGTGTTTAATAGCAGGGGAGAGGGCGGCGGGGCCGGGGGGGGCTGGTTTGGGGGGGCGGGGGGGAGCTGCTGTGTTTTATTTTGCTCTGTAATAGGCTTATTACTCCTGATCACGCTGTGACTATTTGAATGAAGGAGATTTCGGGAGATGAAAGCGGAAGGGAGATTTTAAGTCTCTCAGTGCCTGGCCCCGCAAGGACGGGTGCCCTTGGAGAGGGGGGGACCCCATACCCGGGACCCCCTGCCCCAATTCCCCCCTCGCCTCGCTGCCCCCACGAGCCCTGTCCAGCCCCCAGTGGTTACAAACCTCCTAATTTCCAGCCTCAATTTATTCATGGCCGGTTTATACCCATTTGTTTATGTGCCAACACCGTTCCTCAGCTTAAATAGCTCTTTTCCATCCATAATATCCCCCCCCCCGTATTCCAGCGGGCGCAATCATATCTCTTTTCAAGCTGTTCAGGAAAGAAAAATCTGAATTATTTAACCCTTGGGACACTGGCTGGTCTCGCAGGGTGTAGAGAGACAAATCCGCTTTGTTCCCGTGCTGGGTCACCGCCCGAATTTGGGAATTTTTGGGGGATGCTGCTCCTGCTCAGAGGGGAAACTGAGGCACCGAGGTGCAGTTGAGGGGACCAGGGCCAGGGTTTGGGCACAGGGTTTGCTCTCCTGGTTGGCTCTGACCCGCAGGGGCTGGGGGCCTTGGGCTGTGGCTGCCTTTCAGGAAGGCTTTTCCCCTCCCTACTGAATATCCAGGAGGTAAAAACTTGGGAAGCCAGTGTGTGTCCAGCATGGAGATGCCACCCTGCCCGTCTGGGGGACCATGGCACTGGATCCAGTGATGACATCGGATCCAGTGGTGGCATCAGCCCCATCCCTTGGCATCATCCCCGGTGATGGGATCATCCTCTCCCCACAGCATCGTCCCCATCCCGTGGCATCAGACTGGGGGGAGCCCAGGACCCCCTGCAGAGGGGGGTGCACCGTGCTGGGGGTCCCCACAGCTCCCTGCAGCCCCCCTGTGAAGGGTGACCCCCTCCCCAGAGCCCCCCCCAACAGAGGGTGACCCCCTCCCCGCAGCCCCCCCACGTCTGTCTCCATCTGGGCCATTTATCAGCTTTAATCAGCTTTAATTCAGCAATTTGTCAGGCAGGCGAAGGCCCTCACAGTGAGTTTTTCCAAAAAATATAATAATTATTATTATTATTCCCCTGATACGTGGGCCCCCCCGCCTCGTCTTTGCTTGGGCTTTAGCAACGATCATTAAAATAAATAATTTTTTTTAAATAAAAGGCAGCAAGAAGAGGGTTTTTTGTGGGCGTTTTTTTTTTTTTTTCGATATTTTTTATTGTTCTCTGTGCGTTTGAAAATTGTTTCCCAGTAAATTCCAGCCCTTTGTATTAATTTTACATTTTCCAATGTTACCTTGCCAGGGGCAGGGTTGGCACAACTGGCTCGGGAAAGGAGAGGGAAGGAGAGGGAGAAACCCTGCTCCTTAATTAGCGCGTTCCCTGTGTGATCAGAGAGCTTATGAGGCAGGTAATGAGCTGGAGGGGGGCTGCAGGAGCCCCCTCCCTGCACCACCTCCCGTCTGCCCCCCCTTCCCTTTTTGGGGTGCCTTTGGGATCACCCTCCGTCCCGCCGGCCCCAGGGATGCGGGATCACATTTGGGGGGTCCCTGTGATGAGTTTCATCCAGTCTCAGCCCCGCTTGCAGCTGCCACAGGCTCAGGGGCTGTCGGGGAGCCCCGAGATGCTGCTCTGGGGGGGCCAGGGAGGTTGTGGTCACCACCCCCATCCCACCAGGGCCGTGCTGACCCCTCTGGCCACTGGCCAAGCCCTGGAGCCGTGGAGTGACCCCCATCTCTGGTCATGCCAAGGTTGGGGGCTGAGGGGGGGCCGTGCTGTGGAGTCTCAAATTAATTAGCAAAGAAAACTCACTCGATGAGGGGGGGGAAAGCCAAGCTGCCAAATTGGCTCCTGGGGCCGCCTGTGGATTTGGCCTCGAGCTTTCCCGGCTGCGGCGCCGGGAGCTCCGGGGTCTGCAGTTTGGGGAGGGGGGACACGGGGGTCGCCCCGAGGAGCTGGAGCAGGGCTTGCTGGCATGTGCCACGGAGTTCTCCAGGGCTGCTAATCCCTTAATCTCTCGGGTAAGCAGTGCCAAGAAGGCAAATGACACCGGGATTGTGGTGCTTGGCTGCGGCGGTGCCGGAGCTCCGCCGGGATCGCCGGGAATAATCATTTCTGTGTCATTTCCTACTGAGTGGTGCCGGTCTATCGGCGTAAAACAAAGAGACTCTGGGTTAATCTGGAGGTTAATATGGATGTCGGGGTGGGACGGGCGGGATCAGGCCCTGGATCACGGTTAAACCGGCGGGTGAGGCCCTGGCACAGGTTGCCCAGAGAAGCTGTGGCTGCCCCATCCCAGGGAGTGTCCAAGGCCAGGGTGGAGCAGCCTGGGCTAAGTGGAAGGTGTCCCTGCCCATGGCAGTGGTTTGGGTCCCTCCCAGCCCAAAGCACTGCAGGGTCCCGGTGCCCCCCAGTGACCCGAGTCGCCCTGCAGGTTCCACCGCGGGGACTACACGGTGGAGGTGAGCATCAACGACTACCTGGACATCTACTGCCCGCACTACGAGGAGCCGCTGCCCGAGCGCATGGAGAGGTACATCCTGTACATGGTGAACTACGAGGGCCACGCGTCCTGCGACCACCGGCAGCGCGGCTTCAAGCGCTGGGAGTGCAACCGCCCCGACTCCCCCAACGGGCCCCTCAAGTTCTCCGAGAAGTTCCAGCTCTTCACCCCCTTCTCGCTGGGGTTCGAGTTCAGACCCGGCCACGAGTACTATTACATCTGTGAGTGGGGAGGGGAGGGAGGGGGGTCTGGGAGCGCATCCCGGGCACATCCCGGCACCGCCGGCCGGGGTCGGGCTCGGTTTGGGTTGGTGACCCGGAGTGTGGCAGAGCCCCCGTGTTTTCTGTGCTCTCACATGTAATTCCTGTGTGCTCCCATGTGTCCCCACGCTCTCACTCATATTCCCGTGCTCCCACATGTATTTCCTACGCTCTCCCGTGTGCTCTTGTGCTCTCACTTATATTCCCGTGCCCTCCCACGTATTCCCGGGCTCTCACATGCAATTCCCGTGCTCTCCCGTGCATTCCCGTGTACCCCTGTGCTCTCCCGGGTCTGGGCTCCCCTTTCTCACCCAAACCTGGCCCCCAAACTGCCCGGCCCGCTCTGGCGCCGGCGGCAGGACGGGGGTCCCTGGGAGGGCATTTCCCTCTCTGGGGTGTCTGAAGGGGCAAGGGCAGAGGGGGGGGAGCGGAGCCAGACCGGCTTCCTCCTGAGCTTGCTGGAGTCATGGAGAAAAAATGCAGTGGTGCTGGGAGCAGGCGCTGGGATAACGCCCAAACCCAAACAGGGCAGGGTGACCACGGTGGGGGGGGACCCCCCCCCCCCCAACCGGGAGCCAAGGACCCGCCGGCCCCTCCGGAGCCACCGCCACACTCCTCCGCCTTATCATTTCTCCCTCTTTTTCCTAAAGCAGCTGTTTTCAGCCCACTTAATTTGTCCCTTTTATCTATATTAAATTACCATTTCCCCCCTCTCCCTCCCCCTGTACAATGTCACCGGCGCAATAACTGCGGCACACCGCGCGCTCTCCCCCCCCCTTATTTTATTTTATTTTTTTTTATTTTTTAATGTCGTTAGGGCGAGATTACACCGGAGTAAATGGGAAGCTGATCATTGCTAACCCGGTTAGAATCCCCGTCATGCGGACCATTAGAAATTATGCCTCTTTGAGGAACCGTTCTTAGCAGACTTGACAGAAAAGAACTTACCTCCTCCTCGAGCCCATGGCTTGGAATCCATTAACCCGCCGGCACCGGGACAAGCTCCTGGCCCTGGCAGGGTTTCAGGGCACCTCTTGGCCCTGGGGACCGGGGGATGGAGCTGGGCTGGGATGCGGTGGGCTGGGATGCTGTGGGATGGGATGCTGTGGTTTGTCTGGGAGCTGTGGTTGGATGATGTGGAGATGCTGTGGGATGGGATGATGTGGGATGGAATAGGCTGCTGTGGTCGGTGGGATGAGCTGGGCGGGGTTGGGCTTGTGGGATGGATGCTGTGGGCTGGGATGCTGTGCGCACACGGGAGGCTGTGGGATGGGATGCTGTGGGATGGGATGCTGTGGGATGGGATGCTGTGGGCTGGGATGCTGTGGGATGGGATGCTGTGGGCTGGGATGCTGTGGGATGGGATGCTGTGGGCTGGGATGCTGTGGGATGGGATGCTGTGGGCTGGGATGCTGTGGGATGGGATGCTGTGGGATGGGATGCTGTGGGATGGGATGCTGTGGGATGGGATGCTGTAGGCTGGGATGCTGTGGGCTGGGATGCTGTGGGATGGGACGCTGTGGGATGGGATGCTGTGGGATGGGACGCTGTGGGATGGGATGCTGTGGGCTGGGATGCTGTGGGCTGGGATGCTGTGGGATGGGATGCTGTGGGATGGGATGCTGTGGGATCCCCGTGGTGCCACTTGGCTCGGCGCCTTCTCCTTCCCCCCCGTGGGGTGCAGCACCAAAAGGCAAAAGAAAAGGAAAGGTTCGGGGAAAAAAAAAAAAAATCTGCTTTTAAAATTAAAAAGAAAACTACAGAGAAAATTAAATTCCTTTATTAATATATATATATATTTAAAAAATCCCATTTTCTCACCCTGAGAGGGACTTTCACCTCGATAATTACTGCAATTCCTCCCTTTCTTCCAGTGTTTATTACTGTTTCTCAGTGCTTGACCCTCGCTTTGTCTCTGCCCCTCCCAACCCACTGGTCTCTCTCCCCTTTTCCTCCCCGCAGCCGCGTCCCCCCCGAACACGGTGGACAGGCCCTGCCTGAAGCTGAAGGTTTATGTTCGGCCAACGAGTGAGTCAGAGATTGGGGGGTCCCTGGGGGGCCTCTGGGTCCTGCCCTGCGGGGTGAGGGCGGGTGGTGGCCCTGGGGATGGGACAGGGACCCCCAGCCCTGACAGAGCCATCCCAGCCTGTCCAGCCCGTGGTGGACAGGCAGGGAAAAGAAATAATTAATAGCAATAATAATCTCTGCGCTGTGGCCACTTCTCCGGCTCGCATAAATCAGCCATTTAAAAAAACAAATTAATAATTTTCTTCTCCTGTTAACGTGTAATTAGCAAATGGCAGCGGCTCTCCCCGGGGACAGCGGAATGTCACCGGGTAACGGATGGCTCTCGCCTCCTTTCTCCAGTGGCTTTAAAATAAAACCCAGCATAACGGAACCGTCTGTAAAAACTCATCACCTTCCGCTCAGAACGAGGGGAAAAGATCTCTCCCCATATTATTTTTTAGTATTTTAATAATACTGGGATTTTTTTTATTTCCACCTTGCGGAGGGGAAGGGAAGGGGAGAGGGGCTGGGCCCTGGGGGTGGTGAGGGGCCCCTGAGGGGGCACCTGGACACCCCTTGACTGGGTCCTGAAATATTCCCAGTTGCAAATGCCTGGCACAGGGGACCCCGGTCTGGGGGGACCCCACACAGTACAGGGACCCTCCAGAATGAGGGGGAGCAAGGGGATCGGATGGGTGGAGCAATGGAGCGTCCCTAGACAGGACCAGGCTCTGCTTTTCCTGCCTCTAGGTCCATAAAAATCCCTGGAACCGGAGAGCTCTGTGCCCTCACCCACCCTCCATCCCCGGAGAGCACCCGTGTCATCCCCACCCTGCCCTTCCCTGGCACACGGGGCTGTGGAGCCACACGGGGCTGGCCCTGTGGCAGGTCCCGGGGGTGGCAGCAGTACTTTTGGGGATATTGGGATCTGGGGGAGGATCAGTACCCGGCTCCTCTCGGGCCACCAGTCCCAGCGTGCCGAGCATCCCCACTGCCCTGCCCGGGCTGGGTCCGGCCTGGCTCTCAGCCGTGCCCCGGCTCACACATCCCTCTCTTCCTCCTTTTCCACAGACGATTCCCTCTACGAGTCCCCGGAGCCCATTTTCACCAGCAACAACTCCTGCTGCAGCCTCAGGGTCCCGCCGGCGGCGCTGGCGGTGGTGCCGGTCGTCTGGACGCTCCTGGCCTCGTAGCCCGACCCCGCCGGGAGCGGCTCCGCGGGGCAGGAGCGGCCCGGGCACGGATCCTGCCCACCCCGACCCGCCCGGATGGTGCCTGGGGAGGTCACTGGTGCTGCCGGCGAGGATCCTGCGGCCACGGGAAGTCCCTGTGGTGGCACAGTCATCCCTTGGGGAGCGGTGCCGGGCTGTCCCGCGGGATGGATCCCGGCTCCCATCCCTGTCCCGCAGCTCGAGCTCCGGCCATCCCGGTCGGGCATCGCTTTTTACATTTCTAGACCAAATACAGAGTCCTCGTCAGTCGGTTTTTTTCTTTTTTTTTTTTTTAAGGAAAAAAAAAAAGGTTTTTATTTTTAGTTGTTGGGTTTTTTCCCAGCCGGGCCCCCCCCAGGCCAGACTGACCTGCCCGGGGCCAGGCTCAGCCCCCGCCCGGTGGAGCCTCCGGACTGCCGGGACCGCCGGACACAACGATGGTGCCAACGGCTCCGTGGGCACGGACTCCTTCCCAGCCCGGCCGCAGGATGTTGCAGAGCCGGTCCGGACACCCCCGGACACTCCTGGACACGAGGGTGGACAGACACAGCCCCCCTGGGGGGGTCACCCCATTCCCTTCGCTCGTGCCACAGATGGCACCAGTGTCCCCATGGAACACCGGGACAGCTCCGTGAACAGCAGAGGAAACTGGATCCAGCCGAGGGGAGCACCGGGAAGGGCCGGCAGGGAGCACTGGGATGGCCAGTGCTGGGAGAGCACCGGGGATGGCCGGCTGATACCGGGAGCACTGGAATGGGTGGCATGGAGAGCACCGGGAATGGCCAGCAGGAAGAGCAGTGGGGATGTCTGCTGGCACAGGGAGCACCGGGAATGGCCGGCACAGAGAACGCCAGGGATGACTGGGACTGGGAGCCCCGGGAACGGCCGGCACTGAGAGCACCGAGGATGGACTGGAGAGCACTGGAGATGGCTGGCACTGAAAATGGCTGGCACTGGGAGCACCAGGAATAGCTGGCACTGAAAATGGCTGGCACTGGGAGCACCAGGAATAGCTGGCACTGAAAATGGCCGGCATTGGGAACACCGGGAATAGCTGGCACTGAAAATGGCCGGCACTGGGAGCACCAGGAATAGCTGGCACTGAAAATGGCCGGCACTGGGAACACCGGGAATGGCCGGCTGGCACGGGAAGCACCGCCGGGCGCTGGGAGCCGGCGGGCCGGGCTCGCCCAGCCGTGGGCATCATTCCAAGGACATTTGTCCGGCGCCGGGCTGGAGCCCCTGCCGGAGCAGGGCTGAGCTCGCCGGGGCGGGAGGAGGCTGTGCCATGGATTTTCCTCCTCCGCTCTGCACCGTGTCCCCCCAATGCCTTGGGGGTCCAAGAGTCCCCCCAGGGGGGCCACGTCCATCGTGGTGCTCCCCACGGTCCCCCCTTTGCCCCCCGACATTCCGGGGGTTGGGCTTGGGGACTTTTCCCTTTTCCTTTGCATTAATAAGCAAACCCCCCCCCCCCAAAACCCCTGATCCGAGGTTGGCCCTGACCCCAGGGGTGGCAGGTCCCCAGGGAGGGGTCCCCCCGCAGCCCCGGGGTCTGACCCCTCCTCGCCTTAAATCTGGGGCTGTCCCACCTGGGGGGGTCCCCTGCCTGTCCCACAGAGCCCCCCCATTCCCCAGGGGGTTGGTGGTCCCAGGGGATGCCGGTGATGGGCTCAGCCCCAGCCGCAGCCCCCCATTCCAAGCGGATCCTGGCCCTTCCCGAGGGCTCCGTCCCTGTACATACAGCGCTATACTGTGAGCGGTTTTTTTTATGTATTGTTGAGAATGGATTTTATGGAAGGGTTTATCTTATTTTTATTTTATTTTTATTTTTTAGACTAGGAAGCTGGAATCTCGCAATAAGCTCATCTCGACCATCCAAAAAAAAAACCAACCAAACAAACAAACGGATAAAAAAAAAAAAAATACAAAAAAAAGAAAAACCCCACGATAAAAAAAATCGCATTCCCTGCTGTCCCTGTCCCTGTCCCCGTGTGTCCAGACCAGGTCGTGGTTCCCGAAGGTGACAAAAGCATTGTGTTTATGGGGGGGATGAGGGGGGACCCACTGGGCTCCGACACGGAGCCAACAGCACCCGCCTGGCCTTCGGTCTGTGTTTTATATATATATAGATTATATATATAAATATCTATATTGTGTACAGCGACTGTGGGAGAGTGGAAGGACGGAGGCGGCAGGGGCAGGGCTGGGGGGTCCCCCAGAGCAGCCCCCCCTCCTCGGCGCTGTCCCTCCGTGCTGGTCCCCGTCGTGCCTCGCTCCGTCCTTCGACATTCCGCTTTCGTCCTCGACGTCGTGCTGATGGTAACCGGATCTATCGCCCCCCCATTTGGATTCTGTATTTTTTTATAATAAAATGCAAATAAATGTCGTGTGAGGCCCTTGCTTTGAGGAATCACTTTCCCTCCCCGTGTGGCTCCACGTCCCCGAGGGCTCCGACACCGGCTCCATCCGCGCTCCCCTGCAGCCCCTCTCCCCTGGCACACCGGGGCTGTGCAGCCAGACCTCTCTGCTGGGTGGCGTGTTAATTACGGGAAGGGTTTAATTACCCTGTTAATTAATAATAATGGATATTAAATTAATTAATATGCAATTGTTGATAGTGCTTAATTATCAGAGGCGATGCTGCCCCGCGGGCGGGCGCTCGGGGCTGGCGGCTCCCGCGGCTCCGGCTGCTCTCCCGCCGCTGCCTCAGTTTCCCCAGGAATGAGACAGCAGAGGTGACATCCCAGGAGGCCACCAGAGCCAGGACAGGCTGCTCGGAGGTGGCCTCACGAAGCATCCTCTGCCAACCCCCAGCCCCCCCCCACCCCGTTCTTTTTTTACCTTAAATACTAAACTTTTTCTGGAGCGGCCCGTGCTCATTCCCGGCGTTCTTATGCCCGTTCCAGCGTAATTAGCAGAATAGGAACAACCCGCTGGTAATTAATTGAGGCTCCCACAGCTGATCCGAGCTCTGAAGTTTTGCCACCAGAGGGTGAAAGAGTAATTTTGCTTTTTAATAAGGGCCATATGTGTGCCAGGAGCGGGAGCGATGCCACCCACCGCCAGGGACGTGGGTGAGGACGGCTCCGGCAGAGGGAGGCACCAGGGAGGGGGCCCGGCAGGGATTTACCAAAAAGTGATTTTTTTTTTTAGACCCACTCAGGAGGTTTTTTGAGCCCTGACTCATGACTTTTTTAACGCTGGGTGTTGGAAATAGGGAGGTAAAAATAGCAAACGGGCAGCACCAGGCTGAGACGGATCATCGTTAGTAATTAATTAATGGAGTCGTGGGGTTTTAGGGCCTGAATGGGATCATTTAGAGCCCGTCTCTCATGCAGAGGCATCGAGGTTTGATGTGAGGAGTGGTGGTGATGGAGAGCTGGTCCAGCCCTGGGTGCTCCTTGTGCTGCATCCCTGCGGGGCTGGTATCACCCACCCATTATCACCCACCTTGTATCACCCCCCTGGTATCACCCACCCGTTGTTACCCACCCATTATCACCCACCCGTTATTACCCACCCAGTATCACCCACCCATTATCACCCACCTTGTATCACCCCCCTGGTATCACCCACCCGTTGTTACCCACCCATTATCACCCACCCAGTATCACCCACTCAGTATCACCCACCCATTATCACCCACCTGGTATCACCCACCACTCAGTCCTTAATATATTTAACTTTTATTATATTTAAACAGGGACGGATGGGGGTGCACAGGGCTGCAGGTGAGGCCAGGGCACATCCAGGCTCCCTGCATCTCCCCCTGGCCCCGTGCTGGGGGGTCTCTGAGGCCCTGGGATCCCCAGCTTTGTACCCAGGGGAAGGGGGACCCACTGCAGCACCCCCGTCCCACCAACACCGAAACAGGAGCGAGCAGAGCTGGGTCATTCCAGCTGAGAGTTGGGGCTGAATCCATGGAATCCAGCTGGGAGGTGCCATCCTGCACCGGTGCTTCCCACCCGCTCCAGAGCCAAGGCACCGGGGGGGTCCCGAGCCCCCGTGGTGGTCACGGTGTGGCCCTTACAAGGTCTCTGCTCCTGCAGCTCCTCGCTCTGTTTCAGCATTTCAACATTAATAGTTCTTTTCATTTAATCCCCTGGAGGCAGCGGGTGCTCCGTGCTCCGCTGGCCCGTGGAATATCCCACCTGGTGCAACCTCACGGCTGCAGAGCACATGGGGGGTGCAGCCCCCCTGTCCCGGGGCTGTGGCCCGGGTTGGCACCGTGGGGAGGCTCAGGATGTGCCCGGCAGCTCCTCAGGTCCCTCCCTGCCTCCCTCCCCTGGTCCTCGCTCCCGCAGGGATGCTCAGCCAGGCACGGCCCATCCCTGACGGGCTTTCCAGCGGGATTTTCACGATTTGTGCCTCAAAGGCACCACCCCAGGGCCTGCCCAGGCAGGTGTGCCACCACGGCTCCTCTGGCAGTGCTGGGGCAACCGTGGCCACCACGTGCCAAGAGAAATGTTCACCACAAGGCTGAGCTCTTCCCGGGGCTGCTCGAGGCAGAGCAGAGAGCTGGGAACATCCTGGGCTAAAAATGATCCCTGTCTCAGTATCCAGCTTCAATTTGCTCCATTTAAATGAATTCCCTGCGGCTGGGATGCCCCCTCCCCACCCTGTGTCCCCCATGGCATCGTGCCTTCACACGGCACATGGTGGGTGCTGCAGAGCTCAGGCTTCCGCATGGAGCTGGCACAGTGGCCACCAAGGTTGGCACAGTGGCCACTGAGGGCTCATTCCTGTGTCCCCCCGTCCCATCTCATCCCACACAGGGCACCACGACACCCCACAGCCCCCTGTGCTCCCCGCGGGCTCACCGGCACCTCCCGGGCTCCGTCACGTCCCTCTGGCAGCTCCTGGCGTGGGCTCCTGCCCCGGCTCCGGCTCGCGGGGATCCTCCTGTCCCCGTGCCCGCTCCCAGGCTGTCCCCTCGCTCCCCTCCCTGCCCCGGCTCCGGCTCGCGGGGATCCCTCCTGTCCCCGTGCCTGCTCCCAGGCTGTCCCCTCGCTCCCCTCCCTGCCCCGGCCAGCCCTCTCCAGCCTTGTCTCCTGAGAGGTCCAAGTGGTTGGACCGGGAGCGCTCCTGACAGACACGCTGTGAGCAGCGGGGGATCCCAGAGCGGGGGATGATTTACGGGAACAGCCGGGGAGGGGAGCAGGGAGCGGAGGTGCCGGGAGGGTCCCCGGCTCCCAGCCGGACCCTCCGCCCTGTCCTGGCCCGGAGGGGGCTGGGGGAGGTGGGGGTGGCCCCCCAGGCCTGCGTGGCCATCGGTCTCTGTGAGTGGCCCAGCCGGGGGTGTGACTGTCACAGCTCCTCCTGCGCCTTCCCAGGCCCCGCACGCAGGAAATGGAACTTTTCAGGCCACTGGACATTCAGTTTTGTTCAGCTGTTAATTCCCCCGCCCTGGGGAGAGGAGGGACGTGGGCAATGGAGGGAGGCTGACGGGGTGGTGGGAGGGGGCTGTTGCAGCCCCTGGATGAGGAGGATCCGTGGGAATCATCGAATCATCAAATCCCAGGATGGTTTGGGTTGGAAAGGACCTTAAAACCCATCTCGTTCCACCCCCTGCCATGGGCAGGGACACCTTCCACTAGACCAGGTTGCTCCAACCTGTCCCCTCCCAGGGGTGGGGCAGCCACAGCTTCTCTGGGAAATCCATTCCAGGGCCTCCCCACCCTCACAGGGAAGGATTTCTTGCCAATATCCCGTCGATGAGATGGGTGAGAGCACCTTGGGAGGTCACTGCACCCAACCCACGCCCAAGGCATCTTCCCTGCGCCTGTGCCCCCACCCCAGGCCCAGTTTGGGTGGTGGGAGAGGCAAATCCATTGCTGAGCATCCACATCCCAGCCCCCGAGGCCGGGGAGCGATTTCCCCCCCGGGCACGGAGTGAGCATCCATTCCCCTCGGAGCTCCTCTCTTGCAAGGTAACCAGCATTATATCCGGACCAATTGCTCCAGCATGATCCTCCTGAATGTTGCACAGCATGTACACGGCGTCTTATGGAAAATACATGCCCCTGGGTGAGCCTTTTAATAGCGCCGGCTCCTGCCCGGGGCCGGGGGGGCCACACTCCACCCCGGCGCTGCCAAGGAATGATTGAAAAGTTGGGGCTCGCCGTAGGAAACCCCCCGCTGTGGGGAACAACGTGTTTTCATTCCCCTGCCAGGTAACAAATGAAAAGAATTGCCATGAATGCTAATGGAGAGGGGAGCGGGATGCTGCCGGGGCTGCCGGGGCTGGAGGTGGGGATGGGGGGAGCAGGGATGGGGGGCCTGGCCCTGGGAATGCGGGAGCTGCCGGGGGACCCCGGTTCTGCAGGTGGGAGCTGGTGGGAAACACGCCCCAGCACGGAGCTGGTGGGTGCTACAGGGAGGGTGCTCCGGGGTCCTGAACCGAAATCACTTCTTTTGGCAACAAAATGCAGCTGGGGGAAAGTGTTGGTCCCCAACATCCCCCTTGGAATGAGCTCCTATCGCTTGGGTAGACCCTGGTTTTGCCAGCTGGAGTTGGTCATGCCGTGGAAAACACTCCCTGGCACGGGGCTGGTGGGTGCTACGGGGAGGGTGCTCTGAGGCTGTACCAAAATCACTTCTTTTGGCAACAAAACGCAAAACCACAGAACACAGAAATCCCCAAAATTCCAAGCTTCCAACCCCGAGGAGCCCGTCCCGCAGGCAGAGGTGCCATTGAGCTGGAGCAGCCAGAGGAGGGCTGAGCTGTTTGTCACCGTGGCCGGGCTGGGAAGCGGGAGGGTAAACACGGATGAACAGCCTTCACCCACTCTGGTAAATATTTTATATCCCACACCAAGAAAAGACACTCCTATTTAAATGATTTATCAAGGAAGATCATGTAGAGGTTTCCATAAAATATGTAGGGCTCCTAATCCCGACATCATCAAGCCAAGAGGACCGGAATCATTTATTACCTTCCCAACAGCCGCGCGGCTGCGGGGACACGACCGACAAATAAAAGTGTGTTTACAGCTTTTGGGCTCCTCTGGGGAGAGGTAAATCACGGCAGGGGTGGGGAGGGGAGAGGGAGCCGGAAATGAAGTGGCAATTCCTGTCTGACACAGGAGGTCAGGGCAGGGAGGTGCCGGACACGGGGCATCCCGGTGTCCCCGGTGTCCCCCGGTGTCCCCCGTGTCCCTGTCCCCGTGGTCACTGCTGGGTGCAGCAATGCTCACTCTCCAGTGGGGTTTGGGGGGTGGGCCCTGCGTGTAAACCCCTGTGGGATGTCCCAGTGTGCCCAGAGTGTCTGTGCGTGTCGGGGCTGTGCCATCTGGGACGGGTTTTCCGTGGGCACCAGCGGGGTCGGGATGGGGCCCACAGGGATATGACCCCTTTCCCCTTGGGGATGGAATCACTCCCGTACTGCCACTTGACACTTGG